CACTTTGTAACTGAAATACTGATAGTGTGCGACAAATAGATAATGACAAAATGAATCAGTAGTATTTTCCACTTATTTCCTTGAAAAATTTGACAATAGGCGGATTTATGCCTACCTATTAAATAGTGTACTTTTAGTGCAAGCGCTGTTTGGCACAACGAGTAGGCAATAGGATCAATCAGTTGGATTGTTCTCATGTGATTATAATATGGATTATAGTGTTGTGGTCGTTGTCATTTGTGTGAGCACATGAGACTATGGTGCCCTTTTAAATATGTGGGTGAACTAATATTTCATAATAAAAAGCATGCCAATAAAGAAATGGTTCTCTTGAATTGTGATATATTAATTCCGATGATATGGGCATGCGAAGTATATACCATATCAGTAAGTTATCTGTAGGAATTTAAACCAGATTCCAAATTTTTCAGAATTTTTTTTAGAAAATAAAGTAATAGATTTTATCCGAAACATTATATCATTTAATATTACTTCTTGATCTTCCAATATGCAGTTTCTCTTAACCTGATCTCTATCTATGTTCTTCGTACCATTTCAGAAATTGAACATATAACTTAAATGTTATAAAATGTAATAATTATGCAAAAGGTTTATGGAAGTTTCAAATAATGTATAGATAATTTGATAAAGTTAATAGAAAAATGTGTCTTCTGAATATATAGAAATTTGTAACACAGCATCAAAATGTGAAGAAGTCATTGGAATATAGAATATGAGCTTAGTAAATTGTAAACTTGAATATATTGACAAATAACATTTATTTATATATTAGAAATAGTGTTGTAGTTAGAGTTTATAGCTACTAAAATAGAAAAATAGAGTAGACGAAAATAGAGAACTAGTCATCAAAATAATCAATATATCAACATTTCTAAATGGCTTACAACTCAAGACGTGGAATCACAACGAAATGATTAAACATTCAGAAAAGATAAAATAAAAGATACTTATTTGCAATAACTTAAGTATTTAATACAATATCCAAAAAGCTTTCAGATTAAACTAAGAATTACCGCAGGTTTTTATGCAGGAGTTATTACATAAATTCTTCTGGGCGAAATAATTTCGAGACTCTTTTTTCATTTATGTGTAAATTCTTTACTTAAAAAAGTCGTAATCTCCACATACAATAATTATGATTTCTTATGTTTATTTGTTAATTGATAAGATCAAAGAAACACAACATGGCCTATATTTTAGAGTCATTCCAAAATGCAGCCCGCTTAATAGAACAGATTTCTATACAAGTGAGTTTATCAATCTATCGCCAGACCCTGATAAACTGTCATATAATATTGTTTATATAATATAAAGCTGTTTTTAAAATAATCTCATATTTCATTGATTTGCGACCCATATGCATACGAAACTATTTCAGTTGATATGCTTTGATTAATATCATTAAAAATATTTTACATTATTATATTTATATATTTATTTAATAAAATATATGATATGAAACTATAAGCTGTTAAATCGGTGTTTACTTTGAAGTAGCACAGTCACGGAGAATTGCATTAAAAATGTGTCATTTACTTTTAAAAGTTTCATGTCAGCTAAAGTCCAATTTTTTATTCAGTATTTAGTGCAATTTTGAAAAAAAAAATTATTATCAATTGAGTCAACAAATTTTTGAAATTTAAAATAGTATTTATTGAAACAAATAAAAATGTAAATATTAAAAAAATTTTTGTTTTTATGACAAACTAGGTCAGCAGAAAGTATCTAGAGCAATGTTTTCCGCAGTTTCAATTTACTTCACTCTTTTATGATATATAGGTTTAATTTTTCATAAAAATAAATAAATCAAAACATGACTATTATTAAATTGAAAGACATTTAAAGGAGGACCCAACAAGTGTTTTATTCAAGGTCTTCATAAAATCTTCGCCTAGTAACACATTCACATTCAGACTGTGATATCAGTGACGTGTTAAGTCATTGATCTTCCCTGGCCACAAGGCTCTTTATGATAAGAATATTTTGTGAGTGAGCTACATGTGAAAAACACGAGTAATTTTATTACCGTTTGTTAGAATATGGAAATGGAACTGTTGATATTTTAAAGCTTCAATAGGTTTACCAAAATGATAACAAGAGCTGATACCACATTCAGTAAAATAATTGTTTATTACTTAATTATTTTAATAAAAAAATGAGATTAATTCTTGAAATGTCTCAATTAAACTTACTCTTTTAACTCATAGAATAAGTATAAGTAATTACTTAGAGAAAACTATTAATTAATAGTAATTACTTATACTTATTCTGTGAGTTTAAAAAGTTAAAAGTTAAGGTAAATAATTACTTATTGGTATCTTGTCTGGACTGGATGGTAACGAAACAGTCAATAAGTTTACAAATGGAGGTGAATCACTTCCATCATAAAATCCTAAGCTTTTTGAGGGATACTCAATAATCTGACCGTATAAGAGAAGGCTTTTTTCGACTACAGACCAACCAGCCAAATCAATTTTCCTAGTCTAAATAGTCCTGAACTCAAACGATCACTGGGTATTGAGTGCACATATTCCTGTGAACTACCTGTTTTTAAAGATGAAGTACGTCGACACCCGAAGACTGTGATATGCAGAATAAAACTTTTTTATCACGCACCTTGTGATTAAAAAGAATTTTCTTCAGTATCTTTATTGATTTAGAAACAAGAGCCATTGTTAGGATTGTCAATAGTTTTAATTTGTCCAGATTGGCTAAGAAGACTCTCTCAAGTTGTACTTCAATAGAACTTGTAGTAATAATATTACGTATTTGTGTTGTTCGCGATATTTTTTTTGAAATTTTCTATAATTTCTAATGTGAATTCTACAATTTCTACTTTTTCTACTTATCAAAAACTTAACAATTTGTTCAAAAATCTGAAATATCCAAATATCACAAAAAATATATTCACAAAAATAAATAAAACAACAAATTTTCATTATTTTCCGGTCCGTTGCCATTCATTTCACCCCCAAACATCATCAAAATTTTATTTAAAATATCATTTACATTTTCAATATTATCATTGCTATGATTCGCCATCAATTTATACAAATGAAAAATATCATCAAATATAAAACGTATATATATCTGATAATATTTTTCAAGTACTACTCATAAAACATAGGTGTCGTAATAATCGAGATCATGCCCAGATATAAAGGACATATCTTCTAAAATATTAATAAGTTTCAAAGTTGTCTGTATAGGTCTAACACGTGGTATATTTAGTAATGTTTCATCCATATTCAATTCGTTTACTTCCACCAAGTTACCATTTACATCCAATTCAGGTTCATGAGTAGCAAGTATACCAGGCATATAGTTTAAGACAGTAACACCATTACGACCTTCTTCAGCAGCCATAGCACGAAAATACATATCACGAGCCTTTTTGCATGACCCCATCAATGAACTGTATACAATTGGTTTCACTTGTAGGCTTGAAGTTATATTGACACACAATTTTTTCACGCCATCGAAATGCATAAATCTTAGAAATTCCTGGTTTAAAGCTACAGGTGCGTAAAGATTCTCTTGAACATATAATTTCCAATCCTTAGCAATTTGTGGTTCTATTAATTTACTTGTGGCATTAAGTCCTTCATTATGTAGAATAAATGCCAATTCAAAGTCATCTACTATGTAATTGTTAACTGAGGCAGCAAGTATTTCTCTGAAAGTTGCTCCAGAAACTTTTTGCCAGTCGCCAATGTCACAGCAAACAATTTCCACATCGTTTTCAAGAAACTCCAACTCTTTTTTCAATTCCTGCAGATTCTCTTCAGAATCATCTATTAACACAGCTACGGAGCCTGCCTTGAATCGACGACACATTTCTATGGTTAAAGTTTTTCCCAAGGGATTCGATATGCCGCTTAATATAAAAAAGCAGCGTTTATATAAATCAAATCTTTTTGATGCCATAACTATTAAATTTCCTCTTCCTTCCTTTTTTACAAATAAGATTTAATAAAACAATTAGTGGCGTGTATATTCACTTTCGTATTTTCAACTGTACTAAGAAATGCAATTGTTTTTCTCTACAAATCAACTTCCTATGTGAAGCGTGCGACATCTATCATGTCTACAGCACATTAAAGTGAAAACATGCCAAAGCATCTCTTATCTCTGTACTCAAAGTGAAAATTGATAAGCTCTGTCCTGGTAGAAGTTGGTTGTTATCAATAAATAATATATTTAATACGAAACTGAAAACAATTCAACGAAATTTTTAACATTTTTGAAAGTTTACACAAGGCTTTAGTAGTTTTATATATATGCATGTATATACATGTATGTATGTATGTATTGAGCTGTGATATTTTCGATGCGACGAATGACTAATTGGATTTTACCAGTGAAAACATCGTGATCGACCTCATAGCATATCGTGAGATATTTCAATTTATTAAAATATATCAAAGCAATCTTAATCCATGATCTTACTTAAGGTTTGAAATATCACACTAATATACCCGTAAAAAGATTTATTTTTCTAGCCAAGGGTTATATGAAGATCTTAGTATCTCTTAAATGTTACAAAAAAATTGTTTTATTAAATAATAAATTTTTTTTAATTTTTTTTTAACACATATCATATATGT